ACCAATCACAACCTTCAATTCCAATTCAATCATGAATTGGAAAATCCACAACCCTACAACTAAGGCTTACCTCAAGGCTTCCAATTATCTCCGGTACTCTTCATAATCTATGTGGGTGTAATAACATACCCTGTAACATTCCCGAATGAACTCAACAACATATATATCGGTGATGATGTCGTTGTACAACTGGCCAAGTCATCAGCCTTCATAATAAAAAGGCTAGAAGAAAATATGACAGAAAGAATCCTCAAAGTAAATCCTCTAAACATCACATAAGAACCCCTTAAATTTGATATAGTTTTCTTCAACAACTTATCAAAAACCTCAAAATCAACAAATACCATAGTGATTTCGGGAGAAGCTATCCAACCAAAAGATAAACTGAATTAACTCAGGGTATGGCTGAATGTTAAATTGTGCTTCCAACTACACATTGAAAAAACCGTCCTCAAAGGCCTCTGAGTAAACAGCAAAATCAAAAACCTCACTCTTTTAACAGGAACCACAGTCCGAACAATATACACATTAGTCAAACAAGGATTCCTCCCAAAAATCCTATAGGGATCCGAAGTATGGTGGATAGGAGCGGACTATATTATATTCTCACTTCCCCCCCTACTAGTATATAATGAAGCTGCCTGGTCTATCACCGGCCTCCCAAAATAGATCAAAACTTGAATAGAGAGACTGCTCAAAGAAGCAACACTCCCCCTACTCGAATACCCCCTTGACCATAAATCCAGAAAATAGGGAACAAGAATTCTATATTTCCCAGCTGACCGCCCAAACAACGAACTCCTAACGAGTATCCTACTACCCAAAACTTCAAATATCAAATGAACAGGACTCAACCGAATCACATCAATCATTCTCCCCTTCTAGGAAATAGGAAACAGGAGATAACAGTGGATACAAAATGACCTTCTCACAAAACAAATAATAGAGGAATAGAACACCAAGCCCATCTTCGATTTCACCTAACTCGGAAACCTAAAACACCACCCAAAAACCTTGAAACGCCCTGTGTCAAAATTGAAAATAATTTACAGAATTTCCCGCCAATCTACTAGTATAGACAGACATTCAGTATATATCGAACCTGAACCATGCCAATGTGGATTGGAACAATCAGCCAAATACCTCCCCCTCGAATGCTCATAATGGGCCCAAATCTGCAGACCTCTCATCGAGAAAATCCCAGTCCCAGCCATATGGGAAAACTAGATTTTCACAAAACTAAAAATCAACTTAATCTTACAATTTGAAACAAAAACACAATTACTCAACTGGTACAAACTGGATGAAGCAGTGGAGGAATAGTTTTCTTACGGCTCGGTTATGAGTTCCTACTTTCCTTATCGAACGTTTCCTCTTTTCTTTTCTTTTCCTTGCGTTTTTTTCTTATATATTCTTACTATGTTTTTGGCGGAGTTAGTGTCCGATAAACCTATACTTTGAAGCAATATTAAAACTATCTATTTATCTTTTGTACCTACGCTGTCTATTTGTTATACAATAACAATTTCCTCTCCTCTTGCTAGGAGATCAGTGTATTGCTACTCTTTTGACCTCATTGACCTTCACCGACACTAAACTCCCACCCCAGATTCTTATTGGAGACTAACTTGTCAGCCTCCACCACCACCCTACGTACCCTGTGGAATACTTGCTACTCTTTCCCTTGAGACTGCCTGCCTACCTGCCTACGTACACACTTGATTGCCTGCCCATCCCCGCACCTGCCTGCCTACCCCCGTACCTGCCTCCATACCCCCACAACTGCCTGTCTACCTAACACCCGACTACCCAACTACCTGCCTAACTGCCTCAGGCTGCCTGCTACATACCAATTAAGTTCTCAATCAACGTCGCTTGTGTGCATCGTCAGTCATAGACTCAGCGTAGATTTGGGTGTATATTAATGCGCAAATGAATTCATACAGTAATGTGTATATTAAAGCATAGGTTATGTATGATTAATTGACGGTTTAACATCAATTTAGGTAGTGATTCACTGTTAACTTGATACAATTAAGTAATGATTTGGGCAGCGATTTGTTATTATTGAGCAGTCTGCAGCGTTGTCAATACAGGCATCAAAATACAGGTAGGTAAATACTAGTATTTATCCAGAGTTCGCGACAAGTAGGAGATAGTCATCGTTGCTGGTAGGAAGAATGCATCGCTGCTGGTAGTAGGTATGTATCGAAGTTCGCATTGCTGTAGGTAGGAGGTATGAATCGCTGCTAGTAGGAGGTAGGCATGGCTGCAGGTAGGAGGTAGGTGTTGTTGCAGGTAGGAGGTAGACATCACTGCTCATAGGAGTTGGATTTTGAGGTAGGTATTAAGAGGGAGGTAGGCAGATAGGCAAAAAAGCAGGAGGTAGGCAGCTAGGTGTATAGGTACGTAGATGGGATTTTTGAGATGTCAAATCTAACATAATTTGCTAATGAGGTCAGGGCTAGTGCAAGGACTTAGGCAGATTCGCTACGGTACCTCGCGCTTTGTAAAATTATGTAGCTTCAAACAATGAGAGGTCATATTTTGTATGCCTACTAGGCGTTAAAAGACAGGATATCACATTTTGGATTCTTAATAGGCGTCAAAAGACGATGTCTCACATTATAGCAGCAGTGCATCAACAAGTTTGTACATATTCATGAGTCTCCCAACAGTCTCCTGAGTCTCCTGAGGCTCTCCTGATATATCAAAATAGATTTGAATTCTCTGAAGATACAGGAAATACTTTACAGAAATTGTTATGCTTGCTGATGGCCGGTACGAGACTGTAACGGGGTCTATGGACGTAGGGACTATAGTGCCAAGGAATACAACTGAGGCGAAAACGTAGCAGTAGGTATTCAAGTCTATGGACTATGGGGCGACTCTGCCTAGTATGACAAACTAGTTGAACCCTATGACGAGGGGTAGAACAAAGTAGTATTCGTGGAGTAAATACAAAAGGTTACGTAAAGAGAAGAGGAAAGGAAGGAAAACATGAAAAGACACGAGACAACGCCCCCTTATATATCCAACTCCTAGTCAATCGCTGACCAATGATCTGCGTAACAGAAACTGAAAGAACATAAAGGAAACCCCATTACAAATCCTAATTCAACTGCGCAATACCTTCTCTTCATGATGCAATCTATCGCTTTAGCCTAATTGTAATACTGCCGTTACAGAAACATTGGTAGCAATAGAAGAGGTTTTGAGCGCAGAAGACTCGGACGAATTTGAACATTTGTGGGCGCGGATTCATCCTAATGAAACCCGTTTTTTTCTGATATAGGTATTGGCTCTGATAATATAAGCAATACTGCCTCTAAATTTTCATTTGAGGTACTATTTCTCAAATATTAATATATTTAGAATGACAGTATTCTATTGATTGCACTTACTAGTATTGGAGTCCTACTACCAAGAACTTTAGTTTTTCCCAAGTGGTCATTTCCGTCGTACCTTGTAATTTCTCCAAATATATTATCTGGAGAGATTCAAATTCAAAAGTCCAGTGATTGTCAATTATTCTGACAAACTTCACCTAATCTTTACAATAAATTGCCAGTGCTCTCGCTTGATTAGACATATAAACTTAAATACAGCGTATTACACTTGAAGTTGAATGATATAGGTGAACAACTCCATTATTATATCATTTGTCTTTAATATGAAAAGTGTCAGTAATATGGAAGCCTGAATATCTCCAAATCCAATCCTTAAACACTGTATATTTAAATAGAGGAAATTACTACAAAAAAAAGGGTGACAGCCGAATAGATGTGTGATCCGATTAAAAGCTATGGCTGAAGATATGCAAATCGAATCAATACGCAGCTTTAACCCACTATAGGATCAGAAAACTTTCATAAAAATCATGTTTTTTAACTATAGTTTGACATATAATAAATTAATCGGTTTGGGCCCATAAATTTCCATTGAACAATATATATTGTAGCTTTACTGTTCCTTAACTACTTCTTGCTATGCTTTTAATCACTATTCCACAATTGGCATGATTGCTGTTGGAAACATTATCTAAAAAACTGCTTGACTGCCAAGTGTCACCACATTTTAGAAATTACGTGTAACAGCCCGGTTTTTTTGCATGTGCTAAAACGGGTCCTCAGCGCACATTCACCCGCAACCCCGCTACATCGCTTAACTCTGATGGTTAGCCTGGCAGCCACATTCTATTCCCGCTATGCGAAAATACAGGAGGAGCCCTATTGGCCTGTTTTTATACAATACATGTATGTACATGTAGCTCAACCCCACGCTATATATATCATCGGGTGTGTATGTAGTACTTACGTTTTTCATTTGTATGGGCCTTGGACAATATTTACCCGCGTATGCCGTAATTAATAACTCGGGGTAGGGACGGTAGCAGGTGGTCCGAATTGCTGTTCAACATGACAAAACCCATCCTTGATTTCGTAGACCCCGAGTGTTCTGTTCCTCTCGCGTGAGACTGCTATACGTCATCGACCTACATTAAATTTCGCTTTTCGATATTTGGTATAGACTATACATAGTCACATGTAAATGCACTATACCATAGAGCGATACAAAGGCTATTGAGTACAGCCTTGGAATCGAGGCCCTGTTATACCGAGCCAACGTTTGGATCGCCCGCGTCCACCCTTCTTCGACTTTCAACATATAAAGCTCCTGTTAATATTATATTGGAAATGAAATAACGCCTCAAATTCCATTGAAATTAACCAAACTCAAATTCCATTGAAATTAACCAAACTCAAATTTGTAAGGTTAGCTAACCATATATTTATAGTTCCTCCATCAGACCAGAACACAGAGTTTTTCCAATGAAACAATCACCAGGAACTTCACCCCACGATATACGCTCGTACATACATGTATCCATGTGTCGAGCCATTCGACGAGAAAAGCTAAAGGTCTAAATAGGTTGGCGTTTCCTTCTCGTGAATGAAGAGAAGATTCACTCATCTGACGTTGCTCGATAGGTTCCAATCATGGTTAGCGTCTACTATGATGGGCGCAGTCGGAATATCGCCGACCTAAGAACGTCTTCTAAAAAGGCCCTATCTCTACCTGATTTCAAAAATATTCTATGGATTGGTGTCTTTGGTTCCTTTTCGAGGGACCAACAAACAGATCGAAGTGATGTTGACCTCGTAGTCGTCGAGCGCTCGAATGCTGTGCCAGCAGAGTACCCTGGGGATGCAAACTACGAGCCCTGGACATTGGAAGAGCTGCTACCACGAGTTTGGTGCAGGCCAGTTGAAATCGTTCTCCTCAAAGAAGAACTGCGCGAGTTGGTTGCTATAGATTCACTTCTAACGTCTCGCACTATATATGGCGACGACCAATCTGTGGAAATTTTGCAACTACGCCGGGATGCTCGAAAATATCTTAATGAGGGCTGGACAATATTTCGGAACGCAGAGAAGGATATAGAGGCTCTAAAATCCAGGATCTCAGAGGTCAAAGACTTGGAGGTATGTTCTACGAATGGAATTCTTTCAATGCTCATTTATGTCTGTACTTAACATGCCCGACTAATTAACATTCTTTCTCATCTCAGGAATTTCTCAAGTCACAATCTCTTCAGGAATCCTTCCGAGATCAACTACTCCACATCCTGAGTTCTCTCAACATAGAGCCTACTTCCCATCCTATCTACGAAGGTTTTTGGGCTACTATTCTTCAGGTGGCAAACGAGATCAAAGCGATAGTTACTCCAACCTCACAAGAGGACTCGGAGTACTGGCGAAAAATATGGGACATTCTTTCAACTTCATCGCCTAAAAGTCTGCAAAGTCTTCTGATGCGTTTGAAGAAATTCGTCATCCCCACTCTTGAAGATATCGAACAGCGTATCAAGATTTCAGTACAGTTGGAGAATGAAGATCGGACGGCGGGAGATATCGCGGGGAATGAAGGCGGCATTCCGGAAGCTAGTAATACGGGAGAAGTGCCAGCTGCAGTCGAAACCAATTTGGCGGCAGCGAACGCGTACGAGGGGGGTACTCTCAAACGAATTTTTAGAAGATTAACAGGGCGGTTTTCTAGGCAAGGATAAGACGGCAATCGAACAAAGCGAACGGCTGTGATCTTCAGGTACCCGTATAATTATTTTCTCAGCCTTGAATGAGTCTATTCCCCTCCCAGCCCTATGGAATGTATTTCCTAATTCATCAAAAGCAGTCACTTAATTTCACATGAATGCATGTAGTGTTGGCGGCCACGCCCCGGCTATGGTCGTTAAGAATAGTAATTCCTCTCGAAATTTCTTCTTTCTTTTGTTTCTTTCCTTTGTTTTTAGACGGATACGAATAGACGCAGGCTTGCGGAGATTGATAAAAAAATGAATCACGTTGTACACCCAGACTGATCCGCTGTGATTCATGCGTACATGTGCCTATAGACCATCTGGATTAACGCCAACAGCTGGAAATGTGCAACCCCACTGCCCCCACAGTTCCAGACCATTTGTTTACTCTCGCGAATAACCAACTGCTTCATATTCTCACCAGACTGCGCCCTCTGTTGGTGACGATTTTTATCAGACGAAGTTTCCCAGGACTGTCAACGTCCACGAAAGTCGAAATTTAATGTGCGAGTACGCCTGTTCATATGTCAATGCTCGAGGGAAATTTTGCAATTTGTACTCCCTCGATCGCGGGATGAGGTCATACTGTCTTTTACACCAATAATAATAGGTACATGTAATACCATTACAGCCATCAGCAGGCGAGCAATTTCTTTCTGTATATTATGATATATCCCTGCCTACCGAACTTAACATAATTGAGGCTCTGCATGTAAGGTACCCGAAGTGTGGTTACTACCGGTGACAGTGCGCCTACGCTAGGTCGCCCCGGTCTTGGCAACCGCCGTTGCTCAGCCTCAAGCTAATTCCGTTCAGGTACACTCGAGCGAAAGGGGCACATCCCCAAAGAGTGTCACGAAAATGCGCAAACTATTAGCCTATCATGCCCAAACTAGTCCACGACATGTCGTTCATGTCTTTAATTAAGTACTTAAAGCAACGGTTACCTTTAACTCTGACCAAACATACGTACTATGCATTTTATGTTGGTTGACGAGCGATCGAGTACATCTTACTTTGAGTCAAGATGCAACCGTTCTCTCGGGGGTTGGCCATAAATGACGTTTATACATTAAGGGTGCTAAAACAACATGCTGACCCTTCTTTGAAACAATATGCTGTGGCTCGATATGAAACAAGATTACGGGCTTCAGTTTCTTAGTGGCTTGCAAGCACTCACAGCTTGAGAGATAAAACAAAACAAAGGGATAAAACATGTTTTGGTTAGAGTGCAACATCATTGCGAAATCACGAGCGTCATGTCTCAGCGCAAGGGAGATCTAGGTATTTTCTGTCCTAGGAGTAGTCCTAAAGTAGTACCCTTAATTCTGTAGGCTAAATCATGAGCCAGTAGAGAAATTTAGAAATCGGGAAGCCTAAAAAGCTCATTGTTAATAATAGATACTGCACTGCAGCTAGCTAACTTTATCGCTATCAAACAAGCTGGGGAACCGGGATGTCAGTTACCTCGTCCCGATAAATATATGAGCCTCCTCTGTTCTTGCCTACCAGCATATGAACCAGAAAATGCGAGTGCTAAAATGAAGGATTATTTGATGGAGTGGCGCCGTTCTGACAAATAACCCTTGTTTTGAGCCTTCGCATTTTCTAGTTCATATGCTGGTAGGCAAGTAGGAACAGACGTCCGAGGAGCTCGTGCCACTATCTAATCCCTTGAACTCATTGGCAGCAGAAATTACTTAATGCAAGGGGCGATGAGTTTATTAATCAAGGAATCCCACGTATCTGTGGCCCGGGAAATAACCCGAATCGTACAGTCTATCTGTGCAATGTCCGTACCCCCGGCATGTAGTCCGATGTCTTATAGCTGTTTTCATATCGTCTGCCGACTCCGGATCCCATACACATTGAGTGACGGCCCATTTAGGCAATGCTTATTAGTAGTAACAGCTAGATCACATACGCCCATACCTAAGAGAGTAATTACGGTTTCCTAACTCGGGAATTATCTTACGTGTGTGTAATCCAGTGTGGACAGACAACGCGAAAACTGCTGTAAAACTAGACCTGGTATGTACTCCGTTACTCCCCCACGGATAACTGCCCGCCCTATACGTCCCAAGAGCGACCGGTCATGAAATAGCACTCGATCCTGTTTATTCTCAACCATAGAGAAAAGGTGTTATGTCTCCCTATAACTGCCCAACATGGCCTTAAAGCTCATAGTGCAAATATACATGGCCTTACTTGCCACCCAAAGGCCAGACAGTCGATAAAACCGGGTAGTTAATTATAGGATACTGCGGTTGTTTTGGGCTTTCGAAGTCCTCTAACGGGTACTACGGCCTTAATATACTTCTAGAGCTCTCCACCATCCCGAGAAGTTCTGCACTGAGCGGATTACAGGTTGTGGTCTCTGCGATCGCCGTATACAACTCTCTGTAACAGTAATAGCAATGAGGCTGTGAATTGTGGCTACTACTACCACTGACCTGCTGCTGTATGGATGCCGTAAAAATGGGCCAGGGCGTTTCCCTTTCGAGACCATCCTCGCCCTCAATTTATCGAATTCCATAGCACAAACTAGAATTAAGCTTGAGAGTTCAAAGAAGAATCAAGTCTACCTCGCGCTATCGTTGATCTAGTTCGTTACAAGGTAAATTACATCAAGCCGTGAGGAACCTGATTGCATTCAGAATCCACAGGTAGAAATTAGAGTATTTATAAGCTCTGGTTGAGTCCATTTGCCTGGGTAGAACGGTTCGGAAATAAACTTGTTCTATCGTAGTCGGCGGTGGTCGGGATAGAAGTTTACTCTATGACTCCTATATGCCCTAAACGAAGTGAGGGCATGGAGGTAAGAGCTTATATCGCCTCTGATTGGCTACTACATGTGAACGACTCTAACCCAAAATAACATATCGACATTCCATTAAAAAATTATAATCAGATCAGTCATATGAGGCTGCTGCGTAGCTGCGAGGGGGCACTTCCTAGACACCAATTCAGATTCTTCGGGGCATGCGACTACTCGCGGGCCCTATAAGAGAGTCTGGGGATGTCGTGCCAGTATACCGTCAAAGGGGGTAGCTACGACTCAATGAGGTGGTGTCTTGATTAGCTGTAAGATAAATTCTGTAATCGTAATAGACCTCTGTTTTCGGTAGATTAGATTCCTCAAATCATTAGTGGCTCGAAAACGTTGCGGAAGCTGTAATATTCTCAGAAAGGAAAAAAGAAAGAAAAAAAATGATGCCATGGTTGCTCCACTTGGTAGAGGACGTAGGGTCTCTAGAGTCGGAGCGATTCCTAGAAAGTAAAGATATTAGAGCTGATATCCTGCCAAGATCTCGGAGGGACAGGGCTCTATTGATTCTGATCCTATGCAAGTAAACCATGGATAAAATCAGCGATCCATATTTAACAGTTTCTTCGTCAGATCTTACGTTTAGTAGATCTGAACAAATTTCTGAGATTGGCATGTGAGGAACCAAATTTTCCAACCAGCTGAGAGACTTCTCTGTTAGCTTGTCAGTGTTGATTGTTCATTATGGTGATCCAGTGTCTACAGTGAATTTCGTAGAGGATCGACTTGGGCCGAATGAATGCTAGGAGTATTCTCTAGCAAAACCACACTTTATCTCCGACAAAAGTCGGCAGCATGTCTTCACTGCTTAAAAATACTTGTCATATGCTTCGAAGTCCCGATCATTCCAGTAGGGAGCCATCTCCACGGAATGGGACGATAGTACACTATTATAAAAAACTAGTCCTCAACACCTCCAACGTTTCTGCTAGTCTGTTCCACAGCTAAATATTGCTTCAAAATGATACTGCGTCCTACAAAATTCCGCCCGTGGTCCTTCCCTTAGCAGTGCCCCAGAGCTGGTGATTTGTTAAAGAAAGGGTGATCTGTTTTGTTGTCTCTAAGGGCCGTCCGTTCGGGAAGGTTCCGAAACAATCAATAGAAAATATAGATTGATATAGTAAATTCTCGGTATGGATACCAGGAACCGAAACAATGTCTATACATAGAAGACTTTCGGCGGGGGGAGTTGAAGAAACCCCACTTTAATGTCTTCGACTTATGATATAAGTGAAAACCCGATTTCTAGCCTAAGGCTTGTGCCTTGATCGGGACCATTATAGAAACGGTTATCCAGTCTCATATATCGAGCGTACCCATGATAAAATATTCCAATATTTTGGATCTCTCGGTCTTGGTATAAGCTTAGAAGTATTGTGCTCAAAAGTTCATTTTAGCCTCCATTTTAATCGGCGAGATAGAGCCTTTAAAGCAATCACCCTCCTAAAAGAAATTATAATTAAAGACTGTTGTATCTCTAACCTAAATTTTCTCTGGAGTCTCTCGGTTTCTCCGAAGCTGTATCATTCTTGTTCCCCCCTCCCGGCCATAATAGAAACTGGATGAGTGTCCTATTAAGACCTCATAAAACTTGTTTGGTTCTTGCTCGACTCTTTGGCATATACCCCGAGTCGTGAGGCAAGAATGGCATATTATACTGTCCTCCTGGGTCGCCACAGCAACAACTTTGATGCTGCACTTGAGCCTGGAAACTCGCTACCAGCTGTAAAAACCGGTGAACAATCCAAAGTAGCTACTGCTCCAAAGATAATAAAGCCACCGACTGCAATATGCGTGAGATGATGCGCAGTGGAGCCCGAAGGAGGCAGAACACTCGTGATTTCATAATATTTCCGGCCTTGATTGGGCCGAGTCTGTATATGACTGCAAAATCTGCACAACGGTGTATGTAACAATCATTGGTTGAACACATACTGATCTAGCCCAGTCCAGAAACGTTACGGAATGACGAGTAGATTACCTCGACGCGCCCTAACGAAGGTGAACATCATGACATAACAGGTACAGGCCCTTCCAGCTGTAGCAGTACACTCCAGGAAGAAGAAATATTAGAAAAGGTGATTGAAATGCAATCTGCGCTCCTTTGCAATGCTCCTGGAAAATCTCGATGAGAAAATTGCGA